GGGGGGGGGGGTGTTTTCCTACATTTTTCGCTAAACAATGGAATGCACTGCATCAGCTCTATCTCATTGACACGAACGACTTTTTTATTTTTCAAGAGAGAGGTAGCCTACGACATATCCTATCGTCCGATATCTACAAATACTTTATAATCCTTTTCACGCCCGAGAATGAGCTTTTGGCGCGAGGGTTGGCTTAAGCGTTCGTTAATTGGGCGGTTTACTCTGGGTACCCGAGTTGCTGAGAGAGGTGCAGCTTTGGACCAGCAAAAAATCTATCGAGCCAATTTTGTACAAATGAGAGAACACAGCGCTGGATAACACTTGATGCCAAGCCATGAGTGGACGACACAAAAAGAGAACCCCATAGCTCATGCCCACTGCACTCGTACAAACCGTATAACTCTTGTGCGACATAACATAACGGTAACACTCTTGTTTGATTTTGACACTGCCTGCCAGACAGCACAACTACCGCTGTAGATCGGAACTGGTAGAATCGGCAGGATGGCCGCTCGGATGGCTCCTTTTCCTTTTTGCGAGCCCCATGAAGGCACGGTCGGCCGAAGGTTGGTGAGCTCCCCGCGAGCCCTCTTTTCCTTCGCCGTTGTCGATTTCGGCCGTCGAAGCGGCGGTCAGCTCCTGTTTGATGTCAGGGCTCGATTGAGTGCCCTTGGAATTCTGTTTCTTCAAGACGAAGACCACCTTCTCGTCTGCGTGGGTCACGCATAATTCGGAATTCTTGAGTCCATTCTCGCCGTGTTGCGGTTCCTTTGTGCAACCCTGAGCGCGGCAGATTGTTAGCTTCGTCTTGCGCAAGTAGGTCCTCGTCATTCCGACTGTAGCGTGTACCGCACAAAATGTGGGTTTCTTGTCTCCGGCCACACCGTAGGACGCCCGCGTCATGCAGCCGGCTAGCCTGCATCGCTTGTTCTTGTTGGTGACGTCTTTCATATTGGGTAAAGCATGCTGCGCGCAGAATTGTCCCTTGTCGTTATCACTCGTGGCGAACGACGCTCGCTTCATGCAGTCTTGATGACGGCACCTTTTGTTCTTGCTGACGACATCGATCATACCGGGCTTACGGTGAGGCGCGCAGAACTTCGCGCCTTTCCCGACTTCACCGTACGAAGGCTGCTTCATGCATCCTTGTTGCTTGCAGGTCGTCATGTTGTTGCGGAAGTTAACCATGCCGTCCGTAGCGTGGGAAAGGCAGCGCTCCGCCGTTATGCCCCCGGTCATGCCGTAGGAAGGTCGTTTCCAACAACCTGGGGAGTCGCACAACTTGCTGACGCAGTTGACCATGTCGTCTTCCGCGTGGGCCCTACAGAATTCAGGCCTTCGAGACCCAGCGACGCCCAACGTTGGCGTTTTCATGCAACCATTGTGCAGGCATCGCTTCGCTGATCCGCCCATCCTTGTTGGTGTCGGGTTTGTAGCAGCACGATGTGGGGAGTGTTAGGGGGTGCTTGTTGGCATGCGCAATAAAATCAGGTGAACGCTGAGTTAGATGGCCGGAGACCCCGAATCGATACCGTAAATTATGCCGTCTGGTAACTATTTACATGCTGTATTGTAGAGGAGAGGACGTCTTTCGTATTCAAGACTCGGAATGCCTCATGACATGTATACCAGGAATTTCTATTTTCCATACGATTTTCCACCACTACTGTAGATTGCGTTGAACATTCAGAACTTACTCAGCACACCGCTTATGGTGGTGCTCGAATCCCGTCGCTCCTGACACCCAACAAACGCTGGCCAAACAGCTTTCGCCGTCAACCAAAAGGTGTAATGTTACACCATTAGACTGTCCGGCAGGTCATCGGCAGGCTCCTGGCCCCTCAGCTGGAACAAGAGTGATCTCCCGGGACGGACCCCTCGCCAGGGGCTGCCGGAAAAACAAATGATGGTGCTGGCCCGCTGGGATTCGAACCCATGCGTGTATCCTTGTGTGAGAATGACTATTAACCCAGTGAGACTACTCAGCCAGAGTTCGGGCAGCCCCTGGCGAGGGGTCCGTCCCCGGAGATCACTGCTGTTGTTCCAGTTGGGAGGCAAAGAGCCCGCCAACGTTTTTTTTTTTCGAAAAAATTACACAATTAGACCGTCAGCGTGGTCTGATGGTGTAACTTTGTTTCCCTTCTTGCCAACAGGTCGTGGTCGGCGGGATTTCTTTCGACTCGGTAGAGACTGGCATGTAATTCTCACAGCAATGCGTCTGCCATTCTGGTTGCTTTGCTGCGTGTATCGTACTGTTGTGATATTGTGTAATGCCCTAATAACGCACTGGAGAACCTGTTAGCAAAAGAGCTACTACAGCCCTTTTCTATGCATACGGCAGCAGCTGTAGGAATACCACCAAATATCTCACGCCCGCCGTGATGGCCGGTTCGGTTTCTGCACTCTTTGAATCCAAAATCAGCCCCAGCAGCATTCAAAACGAAGCAGTAACGCAATAACAGCAGTAGCAGCAGTTTAGTCGGGGCTTCATCGGCATTCACCCTCGGCGTTTCAGTGGCATTTATTGCGGTGCTGGATACCTCGGCTCACTCGGGACTCACTATACTCAGTCTGTGGCCGAAGTGTCTGTCAAGGGATTCAAGACATGAAACCAAAGTGCACGATCTACCCCGTGTAGCAACAATTTGTTCGTATCTGGCTCTTGCATGTAACCAGGGCGAATTCTCGCACAATGATCAGGCGCTCTGTGTGCACACAGCAGTCCGCCTATGTTTCAACAGCAGTACCTCTTCGAGTGATTGTGTCAGATAGAAAGTGTGCGGTGGACTAGTCTAACTCTGAAAGTCAGATTTCAGGGCTCTCGCTCGTCAGCACCTAACAACAGTCTACACTCCGTAGGGCCGGCTGCGTTGGGTGTTGCGCTGTTCGGGAGCGGAGGCGATCCGTTGTCAGCAAGTGGGCTATTCCAGATATTTCACCTGTCAGTGCCTGCCGACTCTTCTTGTTCCTTGGTTGCCTGATCGGCCTTCCAACCCCCCGTCGAGGGGGCGTCGCGATGGGAAATGGCGATATTCTGGTGTAGCTGACTGTGTGAGGTCTGGTTACCCGCCCTGCGTTGTCCGGGTGTGCCTTAAGGTTGACCGCACAGCAGGTTTGTGAGCTACGCAGCAGGATATGTAGCAGTAGCAGGGAGGCAGTATGGTCAATGACAGAGGTGTTGTGCTCGAAAACTCAACCCAGTGCTGCGCGACTGAAAAAATGAAAGTACGCTTCCAACGGGAAAGCAGCCCCTTGTGGAAACCCCTCTATCAGGCGGCTCGCTTGGCAACAGACCTCCACACCTAGCACCGGCTCTTGAGGGCGAATGAGAGCATAAACTGTCCAGATTTCAAAAGAGGTATGTAAATAAGATGCCAGGGCACGCCAGGGTATGTTTCAAATGTCCAGTTGCGCAGGGTAGGGTGAAAAAGTTGGACTTTAGCTAGAGCGTACCACCATGCAGCAGCTCCAAAATCAGGGAGCGAGCTTCACATGCGACCCGACCTCTGCGCGAAATAGTTGTATCGCAGCCTAACTGTGCTGCCCCCATATACCTAGGTTGTGTTGCCACCTAATGCAAAAGGTTTGAGGCGATTTAGTGCGGCAGGGGATAAGCATGGTCTGTCCAAAATTCAAATTTCAGGAGAGTCCAAGCCTTGGGTCCGAACTCAGCCCTCTTGCACGTTGTGCATGTCTACATCCATCCATTGCATGCACCATTCACACCCAAGATACGATGGAAATGCTCGATGCAGTATTTCCAGCTCAGGGTCAGCCAATCACTACGAGTTTCAGTCAAATTGGGCTTCAAGAGGGCAAGTACGATTTCTTCGAGTTCAATTGTTACGCTCGGTGCTTTGCCAATATACGAGCCGAACATGACTCGGGGCGCTTAGCTGCAGACACTCCAGTCCGTGCATAAAGATTTAAACGCCGCAGCATCACAAGGTCAGGTACATAAACTACGTATTTGAACAGGTTTCAGTCCGTTGCGTTCTCAGGTGCATAGGCCCGCCTGTAAAGAGGATCAGATCTTGTGCATGGGTTAGAAGAGGCACCAAGATCCCACCCCACGAATAAGCGTGTGCCTGGCTTAGCTACTTCCAACATGATCTACACGACCACCATTATGGTTACCGCCAAAAAAAAAACCGGAGAAGTATACGTTCAAGAGAAACATGTTGTTTTTGTAACTCTGGTCGAATGCATGGACAAACGGCCGGCATAGGTCGAGCTGCTGCCAGATGAATCGTCAGAGACGTAGGGTGGGCCAACAGGCTTTTGGGGTGAACAGCCCCACAGCTCTACCGGGTACGCCACCGGCGATGCCTCGGAACCAGTCTGGGAGCCCNGTGGGCCAACAGGCTTGTGGGGTGAACAGCCCCACAGCTCTACCGGGTACGCCACCGGCGATGCCTCGGAACCAGTCTGGGAGCCCTTCTACACCCGGAAGCGGGGGTATGCAGCCGATACTAACCCTTCGACAGCTCACGGAAGGCGCGTTAACCCCGCTTCAGCCAGTGGTCGACGATACAGGAGGAGACTCCACAAGTGAACGTCCACGGAGCGGGAGCAGGAGACAGGGTTACCTAACCACCGAGGCGCACACCCCCATCGCCGCGACAAAGCGCGACGCGGGAGATTCCGGTGCACGTGTCCGTCGAACGGGAGGAAAGACCCGATCGGGCAGGAAACGGAGGAGGAAGAGGAGACCCTCTGCTAGTGTCACGGGTGGGTGCCTACCCAACCTCGAGAGCAAGCTCGAGGAGGAGGATTACTGCAAGCAGCAGAGCGAGGCCAGGAGGGAGGCCACGGCTCGTAGCGATCGCGCGATTGCCGAAGACGAACGGCGACGATCAGAGGCCGGGGGGAATCACCCCGTTGATACTCGGCGTAGGAGCCACGGTGACGTCCTCGGTCGAGGTGAGATCCTTTGCTGGCAGGACGTCGCCGGTTAGCTAGCTGCTGAACGCGCGAAGGTTGGCATGGAGGAGATAGCGGGGAAGTACGCACGACAACTCGTCCTGGACTTGTTTACCGGGATGGANCAGGACGTCGCCGGTTGGCTAGCTGCTGAACGCGCGAAGGTTGGCATGGAGGAGATAACGAGGAAGTACGCACGACAACTCGTCCTGAACTTGTTTACCGGGATGGACGCAGACCCCGGGAGCAAATCACGATTGGTCCGAGCCGACGGAGCGCAAGGAGACGCACGCGAGCGGGAACTCTTCCTCTTCCCAAACACCCTTGGGGACAAGCATCTCGTTGACTTAATGCTGCGTGCTCGACGTAGTGCACCCGCACAGCCACCATCCAACCAGCTAGGTGATAAGGGTGGGTCTCTCGAGTAGATTCTGAAGGAAGTCGAGAAGGACACGGAGAACGCAGACGCACGGATGTCCGTCGTGCGGGCAGCTGGTAGAATTGTTCGAGCCGACGTGGAGAGTGACCCTGCCCTGAAGAACACCACCGGCACACGCGAGAAGTATCGCTACGCCGATGAGTTGGACATGAAAGTGAAGCCACCCAGAGAGACTCTACTATCCACGTTTCCGCCGTCGTTGGTTGGGTTGTCCCAAAGCATGACGGACATGGCACTGTATCGCGAGATCATCGCATCAGAGACCGAACATCCTGGAGAGCCCTGGGTATGGCAGACCGAAGGGTGAGACGGACGGCATCCTACCACCTCGGGCGACTTGGAGGGCGAGAACGGTGATGGAGAAAAGAAGAATGAGGTCAGTCAACCAGCAGTGACGGTGTCGTTAGGGCCACGAACCGAGGAACAGGCTAGGCATATCGACCCGAAGTCAACGGACCCTGTTCCTTCTTTACAGAGTATGGACCATGGCTTCGAGCCGATGGCAAGGCGGCGCGGGACGGAATNGGCCGAACATCCTGGAGAGCCCTGGGTATGGCAGACCGAAGGGTGAGACGGACGGCATCCTACCACCTCGGGCGACTTGGAGGGCGAGAACGGTGATGGAGAAAAGAAGAATGAGGTCAGTCAACCAGCAGTGACGGTGTCGTTAGGGCCACGAACCGAGGAACAGGCTAGGCATATCGACCCGAAGTCAACGGACCCTGTTCCTTCTTTACAGAGTATGGACCATGGCTTCGAGCCGATGGCAAGGCGGCGCGGGACGGAATCGCCGCCTACCTCGCCATCCACGTGCTAGCTGATGAAGTCTGGACCGGCGACAGCCGAACGGAATCGTCGCATTCTATGGCGTCGGGGGTGAGCCTGGTCTGAGTGCTGATTACCCAGCTGGTGTAGATGCGGAGGGCGAAGACCTTGAGATGGGAGGGATAGGTGCCACGGAGGCGCTTTCCGGAACCGAACCACTCCTTCACTTTCGAAACGGAAACGACTCTATTCCTGGCGTCGAGCGGCAGCGAGGCCAAGACATCGGCGAGGCGGAGCTATCCGTGATACACTTGATCGTTTGGGCGAAGAAGTATTAGGGGAACAGCTTCGACAAGTGGATCGTTTCATCGGTTGACACGGACCTATGGATGATCATTCTACGGGCGATGACCACTGGTTGGCTCCGGCCTCGTGGCGAGGGGGCGGTTGACGTGACCGTCCAGAGGGTCGTGGGTGGCGAGACCAAGTTCCTGTGGATGAACAGAGTGTTCGCCAGCATCTGCGAACTCCAGGATGGAAGCGAGTCCGCGTGGCCGCCATTGACCTTCAGGGGCTGGATCCCCACGGACAACGACAAGGTCCGTCTGTTCGTCCTAACGTTCCTGGAGTCGGGCTGTGACTACCTCCCGGCAATTTCCGGGCTGCCGTTCGACAAGATGTGGGTACTGGCCCTCAAGATCGTGCGAACGGAGGGTTTGTTTGACAAGCCGCTGTTCTTCGAGGAGCAGGATGACACGTGGGCCGTGGAAGTCGACGAATGCGCGAAGCTTTTGGCGACCATGTTCTTCTACAACGATGAAGCGGCGATTGGCACTGCTCATTTGACTCCAGCCCAGCTGGTCGAAAGCGTTGACGGNCATAACGTTCCTGGAGTCGGGCTGTGACTACCTCCCGGCAATTCCGAGCTGCCGTTCGACAAGATGTGGGTACTGGCCCTCAAGATCGTGCGAACGGAGGGTTTGTTTGACAAGCCGCTGTTCTTCGAGGAGCAGGATGGTACGTGGGCCGTGGAAGTCGACGAATGCGCGAAGCTTTTGGCGACCATGTTCTTCTACAAGGATGAAGCGGCGTTTGGCACTGCTCATTTGACTCCAGCCCAGCTGGTCGAAAGCGTTGACGGCGACGTCGAGGGCTACGTGGACGTGATCCGCTACGCCATCCTCCAACTCCCCAAGAAGAAGACAACAGCCACCTGTCCGGCTTTTTTTTCCTTGCGCAAGCAGGCAGAACGAGGTAACACCATCTTCCGGTACTGGCAGAATGGCCTGAGGGAGACCATGCCGGTGACAGAGTTTGCCGGCAAAGGATGGAGCGTCGACCCACGAGGAAAGGGGACGGCGACGAACTCACAAAGGAGAACTGCGTGCTTGACTGTCCGATGTTGCTTACATCGCCCCTGACCGAAAGACGGTCACGCTAGCGTGTGGTTGCAATCCGAACACGGCTCTGTGCAACAGGTGCAGGTGCAAGAACAAGAAGTGCTCGCTCGCTTGCGGCTGCAGAAATCGTTGCACCCTACGGCGGGCGGTGCCGGCACCCGTGCGAGCAGGGGGGAGGTCTGCGTCACGGCCTACGGTGGGTGCTCCTCAAACGAGGCGGGTAGAGGGTACCTCCCGACCCCAACCGCCCACCGAGAGTCGATCACGGCCATCCTACAGTGTTGCCAATGCCATGGCACTCTTTGCCGCCCCTATTGGGCAGCAGGTATCGCACGGAGCGGAACAGAACGACGTGGAGGTGGGAACCCCCGAGTCGCATGCGAGCAACGACGTTTCCGCCGGCGAGGCCGCGGAATCTAAGAACGCAGAGTTGGAGGACCCCGAGTCGGACGAGACGTGCGACGGGTCGGTCGGTGCACTCGACGATTTGATCAAGTTGGATTCGAGCGAATCTGGCTCCAGCGATGGGGAATCTGACGGGGTGAGCGAGAAGGGCGTCGACTTCAACTGGAGTGGCGGAGACACAGATGATGGTGTCGCGGATCTCGTAACCGACGCCTGGAACTGAGATCTGGCTATTTCTTCAGGCAGGTACATATATCGTTCCTTGGGATTGGGGTTGGGGATGTCGTGCCCGCCATTATTACACTCCAGATCTCCACGTCGTACCGAAAGATCGTGTGGTCTGATTTATGCTTACTCCATGTTCAATGACATACTTCGCGCGTCCTTGTTGATGGTTGAACAGGTCCGTCCGTGCTTCACTTCCGTTGGATGGATCCACCCACGAAATACGACGACCCCGGGGTACGAGATATCAGACGGACGAACTTCAGCCTAATACTGAAAAGCCGGCTAGGGCGCGCGTTT